TTTATTGACCATACCATATGTAACTCCCAAAGACATTTTTCAAATGAAAACAATGTACTATGTAATAATGATATTATGGTTGATTGTACTAAGTGTAAAGTTCAAAACTTTTACAGGTACAAATATACACAAAAATGTTCATTCCATGCACGGGCCTATGTTAGAAATGATGTGATTGCACAATATGTCTGATAACTTCTATAGTGCTTATTCATAAGCTAAATTAATTTTGGCTATGAAATGCACTAAAGGGGGGTTATGTCAGGGTATTTATATCAGCAGACATTTTGTGCTATGATAGAAACTAAAAGTGTATATTCTGAGTCACTCTGAACAGACCAGACTCCATTTTGTTATTCAAGTTAACAAAATGACACTATATTTCTATCTGTAAGCTAACCACTTTCCCAGAGCTGAGGAATGCATAGTATATACAAGCCAAGTGATAAGGAAGGGGGTTGGACAGACTGTCTAATGCTAATGGAATATAATCAAATCTAAACCCAGACAATTGTGACAGAGAAGATTAAATAATAATATTTAACTGTCTATATATATAAGGTACCATTGTATGGAAAAGGGTAAACTTAGTTCATGATCTGCCATATCAGAAATTATAGCAGATTTACCAGACACATAGTCTGGACAAAATTTAAGAAACCCTCTGATCTTTGAAGGATACGTAAGTTATAGTGGTCATTTGAGATAAGCAAAATGACGTCAAAATAGCCACCAGGAAAAGTTAACTCTTTCCTGGATAGGTATGTTTAGTGGGACAAGACTGCCCTCTACAGACCAAATAACTAATTTGCGATCTGGAAGATAACCACACCTCTAGTGCTTCTATTGGGTTATCAACTGATGACGTACAGAGAGTCTGGCCCTTTAAAAGTTAAGACAAAGGGAAGATAGAGAAGAGACGAGAGAGGAGGCAGATGCAAGATATGCAAAGGAGAGGAGAGAGGAATTGGAAGTTTGGGGACTCCAACTCGGACAACATCTGAGACTAACACTCTACTCCTAAAACTCTAACACTTAGAATTTACTGACTTTCTAACCAACACCTCCATGCAGAGAGACTACCAATCGGATGAAATATCTACTCAACTGGTAATTATACTGGTTTCATTTAATTAAATTAAATTAATTAAAATGTATTAATAGCATTATATATGACTGGATAAAGCACGGTCAGATTTCCATATTAAGAAATCTTAGTTAACTAAAGAATATATAGTTATAAACATTCCATTCTGCAGGTGGAATTAAGAATAATTATATATTGATGTGATATTATCACGTGTTAGCATACCGCTGTTTTTATCCAGGTGTATTGATTTGCTCTAATTAAGATAGATATCTTTTAGACAAATTAAAAATCTGCTTATATAATGGTAAATTCTCTTATTGGATGATTTTAAGAAAATGACTAATGAACTGGGTTAAATGTTATTTTATTTAAAAATTACATAAGAATAGATCTTAACTACCTAGGAGATCTAGCCAGCATTGAAAGGGTTATTCTAACTGTCTGCTAAACTTTACGACCTTACGCTGCACTCTGAGGAATTCTGTTCTTCCCTGTGAAAAGTTTCACTTTCAGTCTGTGTAAGGATACCTCATAAATCCTCAGAATTCTTGACAGGAAATGCTGTTTAGCCATTGAAACGTAATACCCATTTCTTTGTATTGCATATCATTTTATACTGGATATTCATTGATTATTGTCATGCATGTTACATAATATTATTAATTAAGTTGTCATATAAATAAAAATCTATTTTTATACATTGTGATTATTTATATGAAATACTTTTCATTTAACACGATAAACGTTCTTTGGGATCTGAGAATTGAATTAGTGGGCAATTCTCACTGTTACTATTATTATCCCATAAATATCCCCACAGTGTCATGACACCCAGTTTGTAAAGCACTGCTTTAAAGGGTTTCTATAGTGTAAGAAATAAAAAGTTGACCCTCCAACATAGCGCATTAGGCCCTCCCCATACGAAAGCTTTGCGAATCGTAGGCATGTCCAGCGTCAGGCGACCAAAAGTCGGTTAGCCACCAGGAAGTGCCTTTAGTGGCTGTCTGATTGAGGAACAGTCCGGGTACCAGACTAGTGGCAGTCTTAGTGCTGCAATATAAATATTGCAGATTCTATAAAACTACAATGTTTTACATTACAGTACTAAGGGGGGCAGGGACACTGCACCCAGACCATTTCAATCAGATGAAGTGGTCTGGGTGACTATAGTGTCCCTTTAAAGGAAAGATAGCGCCATGGACCTCCTGTCATCATCACAACATAATTCCATATAAGTTGTTATGGTACCCGGACTGTTCCTTTTTTTAAAAAAAACCAATATGCAAAGACACAATCTCCAGCCGACCATCCCAGTCTCTTCCATAAATGTAGACAATAAATCCAAAAGTATTTTTCCAAGTTGATTCACCTTTCATTACATCCACCAAGAGGTAACCACGTTCCGTTAACTTGGAACAAGACTTAGGGATTTATGTCCTATTTTCACTTTTAAAAACATTGTTGGTGTTTTCTTACACGTGACTCTGCAAAGGCACCTTTTCACATGTTTATCATTTCCCGCATGGACTAAAGAAACCCTCTCCGAACTGGTCAAAGCCCATACTGCCCAACTACAGTCTATTATAAGCCTGCTGCTGCCAGGCTTATTTTACTTACCCATTTCTCCTCCCACACTTTACCCCTTTGCCAGTCTTTACATTGGCTTTCTATACCCTTTAGGGTACAATTTGAAATATTAACACTTACGTTCAAAGCTCTTAATAACACCAATCCTCGTTACATTTCTTCAGTAATTTGTTCTTGGTCACTCTGGTCTTCCATTGATCTTCTCTAGTCTAGTGTTTGCACCCGCACTGTTAATTCTCACATACAGTATTTCTAAAGGACAGCTCCATTCCAATGGAACAACCTGCTTTTCCCGATCAGACTTTGTTCTAGTCTCCAGCCCTTTAAGAAATTCCTTTAAACGCTATCTCTAGACAAGCTTATCAACTCTTTTGGTAATTTTCATTCCTTGAACCTGTCGACCCAGTCTCTCCTAACATAATTAATGTCCCGACTCCCTATTATCCTTTTCACCTTCCAACCACACACCGTTGATTCACACTTCATTTACTTCTGTCAGTTTAGCTAGATACCGACTTTATACTTGGCAATTTAATCAGATCCCCATGTTGTTCTTCGTTAAAGTGACATTGCCACTTGGGGTGTAGTGGACCAGGGGTGCTGTAGCGGGAGTTATACTTCCCTAATACTGTCCCTGCAGGCATTACTCGATCTTCAGCTCCTGGAGCTTCATTTGCCATTAAGAAAACAGTCCCCTATTCAAAGAGAAGATACCGTTTTAAATCTTATAACACCACTTTAAATCACCTATATTAGCAAACAGATATTGGGATTATGTTAAACCATATGGCCATACAATGTTAAAGGAACACTTTAGTGGTAGTAATACAAATCTGTATTCCTAATGCTATAGTTCCCTGTTAAAGTTTAGGTTCCTGCCCCCTTCGTAAGAAGTTAAAAAGCAGTTGTACTCACCTTTTCTCCCTCACAGCGCCGGTCTCTGCTATTTCGTCGGAAGAGCATCTAGTCTAGTGGCTGACTGACGGCCTCTCGAGGCACTTAAACCATTCAATGTAAACATGTTTTACATTACAGGGACAAAACTACATGGTGTCAGGATAATGTATGACCCAACACACAGAATTAAATAAAACAAAGTATATTAACGAAATCAATGAAGCACGCATGTTAGGGTCATTAATGTAATGTTCGAGGGTGGGGCTATATTGATTCACAGTATTATAGCGGCTGGCATCTTTCAGAACGCCATTTCAGCCGGGGGCTGCAGTGTACGCGGATCGGGCTGCGATCCACCGTGAAAACAGGTAAGGCTGAGCGGACGAGGCAATCAGCATGAATGTCAGTAGCAGGAACTTAGGAACGCTCCTTAGGACTATAACTTCTCCAGTCAACCAAATACTGCAAAGAACCATCAGAATCCCTCACGTCCGTAATCGAGTGAACCTTGTAATTCTCTTGTCCAGCAACAACCAGTGGAGGATGAGGAACAGAAGGAGTGGTGTATGTATTGCATAACAAAGGCTTGAGCAAAGAGACATGGAAAGTGTTAGGAATACGTAAATTAGTAGGAAGAGAAAGTGAATAGGAAACAGGATTGATCCTCTGAACTACACGAAGGGACCAATATATCTCATGGCAAATTTATTTGTAGGTACTTATAACTTATAATTATGTGTAGATAGCTAAACTCTGTCACCCACTTGGTATGTGGGTTTAGCACTTCACCATTTATCAGCCTGAAATTTAAAGCGTAAAGCCACCGTTCCCAAGGCGGCATGGCCCTGAGTCCAAATCTCCCTTATGCTGGCCAGATTGTGCTCCAAGGCTGGTATAGCAGTCCGAGAGAACTTAGCCGGAAAAACAGTAGGATGACGGCCATATGTAGCATAGAACGGACTGACCTGAGGAGTCATAGGTAGCATTATTCCTGGTGAATTCTGCCCATGGTAAGCGGTTTGACCAGTTTTCATGAGTGCTATTTATAAAGCATCTCAAGTACACTTCTAGGGATTGGTTAGCTATTTTTGCTGATCTGTTCATTTGTTGATAGTATGAGGAAGACCACTTGTATGAAGCTGTCTGGGTACCTATAATGTCCCTTTAAGCTTACCACATCGCCAAAGTACCCCAATATCAGTGGGTCCTACGCTAAATTTACCATGGGAGATAAACATGCTCATTGCTATACTTACTGCTTAAAGGGCTTCCAGAGACTCTTCTCAGATGTTGTGGACTACATCTCCCATAATGCTCTTACAGCTGTATTGCTGGCAAGTAGTGATGTCCCGAACGGTTCGCCGAACGGTTCGCCGAACGGTTCGCTGCGGATGGCGAACATATGACCCTGTACCTCACAGTCAGCAGACACATTCGAGCCAATCAGCAGCAGACCCTCCCTCCCAGACCCTCCCACCTCCTGGACAGCTCACTAAGAATGCAGCTTCAAAATGGATGCTGTCCAGGAAGTGGGAGGGTCTGGGAGGGAGGGTCTGCTGCTGATTGGCTGGAATGTGTCTGCTGACTGTGAGGTACAGGGTCATATGTTCGCTGTCCGTGGCGAACCGTTCGGGACATCACTACTGGCAAGGTATCAGGGCAGATGTAGTCCACAACATTAAACTGTATATATATATATATTTTTTTTTTTTAAATGACCACATTTTTTTTTTTGTTGTGTTAGAGCAAATGGCTACGTAACATTTTGATATCAAAGACAACAGAAGGAGCCATGTAAAGGGTGGCATGTAGATGCCAAACATTTACCAGAGTAAAGAGGCATAAAGACAGTAAAACTGAGTCAGCATGCTGTACCCAAAAATAAGGGTGGATTGGCACTAGGGTACATGTCTTATATCAAAGCAGGAGGGAGAGGTAGAGGGGGATTGTTTGCCAAACCAAGGCAGTCCAACAGCATACAGAGCCTGGTTAACCTGTTTGATTGGAGGTATAAAGGAGTGCTGCTCAAAATGCATCATGGAGGACGTCTCTCCATCACAGACTTGCCAGATGCCGACACAAAAAGCATTATAGTGCCAACATTCCACCGGTGGCGCTCCTTCGGTGGCAGTAAGTCATCAGCGATACCCATCATCTGCAGAAAAGTAGGAGCATCAGCCATAGACGAGATGGTGAAGGTTTTGCCGTTCCGATCCACCAGCCTCCACTAGGGTCCCCACTTGTAGGCGATGTCTTTATCTCTCAGAAGCTTAGTCAGCGAATGAAAGGACTATCGCCAAAGCACCATTTGACTGGAGAATTCCCTTGAAGAAGGTAAGTAGCGATCCCTCAAACAGGGTGGGGGAGTTTCCTGCAGCCTCCATCAGCATTGCCCTGTTCGAGTCCCTCAGGAACCTAGCCAGCACATCTCTGGGAGCCTCCTGTGGTGCCCTTAGTGTCTTGGGTGAGCAACTTGGCCTGCCTGGGCAGTAACAGGGTAGAGAAGAGTCAGCGGAGGTAGTGTGGAAGCTCCCCATTATTGATGCTCTCTGGCACCCTCTAAAATGGATATTTCACATTCTGGCCCTATCCTCCAGTGCAGAGACTCGGGCAATCAGTGCTGCTTGGGTTTTCTGCATTGTAGCAAGAACGGAATTAGTGGCCATTTGAGCCACTTCGGTAGCCTCTGCATCTTCCTCAATGGCAGATTGTAATGGTGGACACCTCCTACCTGAGCACTGCTATGTCTGATTGGAACATCGCCTGTATGTCGTTTAGGAGAGCCTTGATGTCAACTTTAATGGAGGGTGCATCATCACCTGGGGTGGGGATCTGTGGTGGACTGACCTGTTTGCTGGAAAGCTCAGGCAGATCCTCGTCCGGACTAAATTCCTCCGAGGACTCTGTCGATTATGTCAGATCGTGTGCCATCTTGATCGGGGTAGGCCTTTGAGTTTGTCGGAGCAGCGCTCCTATATCTCGGGACCCAGAGCCGGGATCAAGGCCTCTGCCTTTTTGTTTTTTCTCCCCATACTCTGTGGGCGAGGATTGTCCGCTTAATGTGCCGGAATAGTGTGCTGTCTCGCTGAGAAAGGCCGTTTTGAGACGCGCGGTGCGGAGCTCGAGGCAAACGCATCCGTCTCTGTCGGGCGCTGGCTCTGCCCTCCCCCCCATTAATCTGTATTTTGCATATAATTCGGTCTTTATAGCAGGACCAGTACTAAGAAATGCATGTTCTGGGTGTGCCTCCGAATTAAATTTTTCCTCTTTATTTAACAACATGATCAGATGAGGGAGTGAGCGAGGTTGTACATTGTTATAACATTACAGAACATTGGCAGATACAAAATCTTAATTTGTCACAGCACATCACAAACATAACTGAATTTGTTCGTCTTGTAAGTGTATTACTGGGATATTCAAGTAAACCCCTTTGGAAAGAACGCTATGTTTGTTTGAGAGCTTAATTGTTTTTCTATTTTAAGTATGCCTCTTGTTGCAGCCCTCCGGGTTACCATGGAAACAAATGGTTTTGTACATCTTTGAAGCTATTCAGAGCGTATTACTGTGGACCTGCAACAAAGCTCTTAGCACTCCTTGGATGGGAATGTACACAATACCAGTTATAGCTAAAATGGAGGTAGTTATAGGTGAAAATGAAAGGAGGTACATGGGTTCAGTAAATGCATACAAGTTTATTCAACCAGCCTAGAACTGTGGATTATTGACAAGAGTAATATAAATTTTAGCCGTATGGGGAAAATAGCTGCGGAATTTTTCCAATATGGTAGTTTGGACTAAAATTTGAAATTTATCGGTCACAGTGGCACTTAAACCCCTCCCCCTGCAAAATGACTATTTCATAAAGATAGAATTTCACTGAAATTCCAACCCAGTCAAAAAGATATACTGAGACAAAGTAGGGACTACTTTGACAATGAGCAGAGCTACCGCTGTCAAGCCGTGTCAAGCCTCCCTTCACGGTGACGGCTGCAGGGAAACTAGGTTTTTCTATCATGGATCCTGCAGCCTCGCCGGATCCTCCATTGACATCACTGCTATACTCTTGTGCATGTGCAAGAGAACAGAAGTCAAGTCGGCTCCTGGCAGCTGAAACACCAGGCGCAGAAGACGACCAGCAAGAAGAGGATGGTGACGCCCGCAAGGGACATATTCAGATAAGTAAATCTCACATATGCCTGCCCCTGTCACTGTCTAGGGTCTTTGCAAATTATGTTTAGTCCCCAGACAGTGACAGTACAATTTTAAGTCTCAGTTTAGTGAATAATGTTGTTGGGGGTTATTTCATAAAGAGGAAACTATGGAAATTTATCAAGGGATTGGGAGAATCATTGGATTGGACAAGATCACAGAAGAGTCAGCAAACATGCTGATGGAGGTGAAGTGGGCACTAGAAAAGAGCTGAGTAAACTTTAGTAAACTTAAATTTATTTTCATTTTAATGTAAAGCACTTGCAATATAAATAACAATAATAATACTAATAATCTATGAGAAGCCATTGATTAGACCTCAGAACGAGTCCTCTGACGTCAGACGGAGATGCGCCAAGCAGGGCCACGAAGCTTCACCCTACATTGGATTAAGGTGAGTGAAACTTTGGTTTAAAACACACTCTTTAAATGTTTTTCTAGTAGAACAAAAACTATGATATAATACCAATAGGGTTGTAGAAACCCTTTAATGAAGTGTTCTGGGTGCAGTGTGACTGTCATTTTAACAGCTTAATGTAAAACATTGCAGTTATTTTAGAAAGACAGCCACTTCTGTTGCATGACCATCGTGTGGTGCAGAAGCCCAGTTAAAATAATTGAATACATTGAATGAGGAATCTTGAATGCGCATGCAATGCTGATATCTGAAATAGTATTTCAACAGATATAATGTTTCCTCATAAAGTAAGTTAACTGTAATCACATGATTTGCTTTCAAGTAACCTGAAGATGGGGACAGGCGCCCAGTCAGCATGTAGTAGAACGGGGGATTTATTAAACAATAAAGAAGAAAAGGAGATTCTAAAATCTAATCATGAACCAGAATGTCAAACCTGAGAGCCAGTAAGCAACTGGATGAACACTTGCAAAAACATAGTATTTGGGGATATCATTTTTAATATGTGGGGTTGCAGCTTCGTGATCCAAGGAGAGATCCGACTGCCATTTTTGGGTTAAGAGGATTTTTTTCTCTAGTTTATTGCAAAACGGGAAAGATTTCCAAAGTGATTTTTATTGCCTTCTTTTGGATCAACAACAAAAACAGATGTGAGAGAAGCTAAGCTTGGACGCAAGTCTTCTTTCAGCCAAACTTCACGGCAGGCAGGGAACATAGATCTGAGAGCCAGGTTTTGGGTTAGAAATGCAGGTGTCCAATACAACAAGAAGGAGATCAGGGAACAGGGTGGAGGTACAGAGCCCTGGGTTTCTGTCTGTAGGGCTACTGAATATTAAGCACTAGGTTAGGTGTGCTTTAGGGTGTTCTAAGCAGGGGCTGCCCAAGGACCCACGTGATGCAAGACACTCCTGACCGATAAAATCTGCATGTATTGCAGTGGAATCTACATATTGATTGACGTGGCTGCCATGACATCCTGGTCGTGCAGCACAACTGAGGTGGTTGTGGACTATTATTGACCCAGTTTACTGGTCACGCAATGAAAATGATCAGTACATCAGCCAAGTGGCTCCAGAGATGCTCGTGCCTTAAGTAACTACTAGGACACTTGTGTTGCCGGTGAGAGAGGACCATCAGTCATAACAAGGAGAGCCTGATTCAGTGGTAGACATATGTAACTAATGAAGTTGACATTATGGGATTTATACACTGAATGGCAGTGAATTGAATGGGGCTATAGATGAGTTGGAGAATTCTTCCTAATGTACACTTTTTTGCCCACATTTTGCAGTTTGTTTTTTACTTCACAGCCGTTCAGAAGTGAACAAATACATGATTGTACATTTGTATATCACAATAAAGTTTATTTTTTTTTTCTAATGTGAGGGTCATCTATGTGGCGGATACCACCTAATTCCTACCAAAGACTCACATAAGAGACTATATTACTTCCCTTGACTCTCCCTTTTCCTCCCCCCTATGTGTTTCCAGCAACCGTTCCTTTCTACCTTGCCCGCTAGCCATTGCAGGGAGCCGGAGTATCCTAACACCTTCAGCGGGACCTGACTATGTTTTCTCTGGAACACTAGCTGGGCCGCCGGTTTTACTGCGTCACTGTTTTGACCTCTTTACCAATGGGCTAGAAGAGCGCTATCTGGAGGAGAGATACACTTCATCATGGGGAACAATCACTACCTGAGAGCCGGTGGGAGCCCCCCTGTTTCAGCCCACCAGATCTCCCATTAAATGACCGGAATACTGCGCCCACTGCCTGGAACTTACTTTGGCCAGGACTTTCATTGCAGCCGCTCAATATACTTTATACCCAGGGCGTTTTGGCAATTCCCCGTGGATCTGGTGCTTTTTTTCTCAGAATGAGCGCTCAAATCAGATCTATCTGGGGATATATAATTTGTGGGGGTTCAGGCTTGTTTTTGCTGTGTTTTGGGGTT